GCATTCACTCTAAGTTGTTAGAATGTGTTAGGCCTTCTTTTCGGTGTGATTCAAATATTAATCATTACCATCAATAATGGAATATTTACTGTTCATATATTATTTGAAATATAAGCCTCATGACCCATTATAATTATTAGTCTCGTATAAATGTGTAGGCAGCGTCATGTTCCCATGACAGCGTTCGTGTGTAATAATATTTGTTAAATTTAAACCTATGTATTTAACCACAAATTGCCTTTTACATGCAAAAGTGTAATCTTTAAGCGAAGATAGGTGCAGGGGCGCACATTCGCAAAAAATTTGGGGGGGTGTTCTATGTGCTGGGACCGACTTTTGTAGTATTTGTGTTTGGTAAGAAAAGCCAACTATTTAAAGCGCATAGACGGTAAGACGGGGATAGTATTCCAAAAGTTTAAATAAACGTTCAGTTTTTCAGAACTTTTGCAGTGGTCTAAACTTTCGGATGGGGGGCGGGGGCAAAATTTTTATGGATTTCGAATGCGAGCGCCGTAGGCGCGAGGAAAATTTTGAATTTCTAGATTCATTAGAACGCTATTTCACGTATTTTAGGATGAGGTTTGAAGAAAAGTTACAACCACAAAAAGGCATTTTTAAGTCGCCTAATGCCTAATGTTGTTAGATCGAAAAAATATTTATGTATAGAGTTTAAATAAATGTTCAGTTTTTCAGAACTTTTGCAGTGGTCTAAACCTTTGGAGGGGGCAGGGGCAAAATTTTTATGGATTTCGAATGCGAGCGCCGTAGGCGCGAGGAAAATTTTGAATTTCTAGATTCATTTGAACGCTATTTTACGTATTTTAGGACGAGGTTTGAAGAAAAGTTACAACCACAAAAAGGCATTGTGGCATCTAAGTCGCCTAATGTTGTTAGAGGCATCTAAGGCATCTAAGTCGCCTAATGTTGTTAGATCGAAAAAATGTTTATGTAAATAGTATTGTACACGCAAATACAACGGCAAAATAGCATGATGCCTTCGTTTTTGTAGAAGTCGGTCATGAGTGTTGCTCTGAGCGCAAGTTCAAGTTCAAATGTGCTTTAAAGCAACCAGCATTTTTTATTGGAGTTAGGATTTTAGGTAGGCAAGACTTCAACTTTATTGGCAAACAGAGGAGATGGGTATCATTATTCACACATCGTACCCCCACCCCAATTTCTGCCCGGATTTCAGTTTTCCACAAGGGCAGTCCTTCTGCCCATTGCAGAGCCCCCCGAGCCCCCATCTTGGCTACGCCGCTGATTTACTTCTGCCTTCCAAAGTTTCAGCTTTTGCGACAAAACTAACAATGCGCATTTTAACTGCACCGCGGGGGCTTGAGGTAATCGGATCGCATTACGTTGGCTGAATTGTTGCAACACAGAAGTTGATTATTTGCTCTCTTGGTTTGTGTCAGTGAACTCTAATTTGTGTATATTCGTTTTTCTTTGTCTAATTCGTTTTTCTTATGTTTATGCAACTTCCATTTCCAGAATGTCCACCTATTACTTTTTTCGACACAAAATGATAATATCTTTCAGATTTTAGCCGGACCGACTTTTTCGTCCCATTCAGGTTTTGGGACCGACTTTTTAGATATATTTCACAAAACATGGGGGGGGGGGGGGTGTCACCCCCCCCCCCCATAATGTGCGCCCCTGAGGCGGACCATACTGTCAAGTATTGTGTAATAGCTATGTTTTATTTACCCTAGAGATTCTATGAATAGCTATATTCTTTGCTATGCTAATACAGGGCGTGTGTATATGGTTTGCGAGACAACTTCGCGCATTTAAATTTAAGTTACAGGGTAACAAGTCTATTTGTATGTAATACAATCTACAAAGACATGTTTTACATGCAGCGTCGTCGGTCAATATTGACCATGCTTCGCGGATGATAATTACGAAACAGGTTATTTAGACTGGGACAGTGTGGTAGTTGTTTCGTGGTTTATATTACCGATTGTTATTATCAACAAACAGCGAGCATTGGTTGTCAAGAGCAGACCAAGTATCATCCGACCCAGACATGTGCATGGACCGACAAAGAAAATTCACAAAATACCGCACGCAAGGTTATACATGCACATTCACGATAAAGTTACTTTCCAGCCCCTTTGAAAATTAAGGCTTAATTAATAAAACTAAAAAACTCAAAATCTCAAACGACTGTAGAGGTTCAATTACCTATCTTTAAAAATAATATATGGGAAGAGGGTACACGAGGTTAAATCTAAGCAAAAAAGGAGACTCCTCGAGCCAGGGCAATGGAGGGGGTGGGGGGAGCTGTGAAAATAAATAATATCCTTGAGGAGAGTCATGGAAAATTCTATGCGGAGATTAAATGGGCCATGAAAAAGACGAGTTGAGAAATATCTTCCGACCCACCTCTCGGCATTAATAACGACTGCTCCCTTAAATTGTAATAAAAACAACAGTAACATATCGAATAAGGCGTTTTATTATATGGCTTTTCAAAATTCTCTATTCTGATTGGTTGGCAAGCGGTCCGTAAAAACCCATATCCGGACCGTGGTCCGTATTTTCCGTATTTATTTGGCTTTTTAATTTTCCATTTGTGTGTCATTAAAATTTACAGATAAAAATTTTCAAACAACCAAATTGTTTTTGATTGAGCATGCATGCCTACCGTATTTTGTTACCCAGTGAAACTGACGATAGCCGATTTAATTCGCGCGAAAAGCATATGCTCACAGAGTCAGTTCAGCCATATAATAAACCGATTATTGACCTCGTTTGTTAGGTCTGTACACTACTGTGAAATATCAGACCCCTGTTTTTTGCATGGACTACGCTCCTTCGTCGCTCGGTCCATACTAAAAAACCTCGGTCTGATATTTCACAGTACAGACCTCACGCTCGGTCAATAAGCCGTTAATATTTAAATAATTCAAATAGTGAGCGCCGTTGGGTCCGAAAGATTCCGCTAATGCAGGAATGTCAATCATACATGAATAATTGTCCTGTTGGGGTTGACTTTGAAATAAAGTCAATGATATTCTATCAAAAAAATTCGTGGTGATTACATTCAAGTATATAACTAGACAATTTTGATATAATAAACAGAAATATACATGAGCGCTTGGTATTATTCTTTTCCCTGCATTTGCTTTTAAGTGCACCAATAGCTGATCTCTTTCGGGATTGTTACTTTATGGGCACGGGGTTTCCCTGCACCAAATAGGCCTATTTGACCAGGCTTAAAACATACATAATAAATGAATGATTCTTGTTTTCGAAACAGCTGTATCGTGGAACGAAATCCCAATACGACAGGTCGAACAGAAATCACGTTTTCCGGGACAATGGTTGTTGATTAATTGTTCTGTTAATACATCCGAAAAGGTGACTTTATGGTTTAAGAAAAACAAAACATCTGAAGAGGAACCTCAAGTTATTGATAAAAAGAAAATAATATCGGCTTCTAAGAATATATTCAACATAAAACGCTTGACATATATGGATAAGGGGTATTACATATGCAGAGTTCGTGAACTGGAAAAAGAAATATTTCTTAGCATATTAGAAGGTAAACACATCCTTAAAGTAAAGCTTATTTATTACAAAAAAATATAAAATTCACTGGCCTGTTTTTGTGCAGTACAACATCTACTTAAAATGTTTTTCTTGACATGTATTTTGTATATTTATGTACTGTTTAATTTAACAAACTCGCAGGACGTGTTTTATTAGGTCTAAAGCCACTCGCGCGCACGACTAAAAATTCAATTGGTAAACTGCCTTATTAGTAATGAGGACACGACTACAATAGATACTGCCTTATTAGAATTCTGTATAGAAAGAATACTAATTAGGAGTGTTTTATCACGTTTGAAGCGACTGCACGTGACATATTATGATTAAGCTTAAGAGGAGATTTTTTTATATTACGTAACACGCGCTCAAAACTAATGCGTATATAATATACCACTTGAGGTTATGACTAAATTCAAAATTTTTATTTTTCGATACGTTTCTCAATCGGCAACCAAACTTAAAAAGTATGTTTAGTGTTTTATCTGGAAAATAATGCTAAAATGAAAAGATTTTAGATGACACGCCAAAGAGAAAATGATGTCTGAATTTCAGTAAGTTTTGTTTATATGGTCAATTTTAAAGTATCTTTGATAATTGTATTTTCATTGACAATTTTTAACTATTATTTTATCTTTCTCAACCGGCAGATGCATTTAAAAAGGTAGCTAACTGTATAAACTAGAGAATAAAGCTAAAACAAAGTAATTTTGAGTGGAACGCCAAAAATATTTTAGGTTTTAAACACTTTTCATTGCAAATACATGACATTGAAAAAAAGTGCCTCTTAACATGATTTGCCAATAAGCTTATGAATTATTAATGAGTGTTTGAAACATATATTAATGCACTGTACACTGCAAAGAAATTGCCCGAGTAATTTGACCATAGGCGTACGGGCACTTTTTTTGGGGGGAGGGGGCTGGGCTTAATTTGCCCGAATGACATTACGTCATAGATTTTCTGACGTCATCATAGAATTATATAATCTGAGAAGACTACAAATGAAAAGCTTTCTTTCAAGATTGAAAAACGTGATATAAAAAGAAATATGTCGCCCCTAGCCATTTCAATTATAAGTTAAATATATTCATTACGATTTATAAAGAAAGAGAGAGTTACTAACGTAACAACATTTTATTTGATATGTAAAATTCTCCCATGTATAGCACTAGACGTGCAAGGGATTTAGTTTAGCAAAATGATAAATTAGTTAAGATTGTCACGATCTTGATTAGAAGAAATAATATTTACGATTACGTCACTGTCCAAAAATGTCAATTATCTTTTCCATATTGTTCTTTAAAGTACTATTTACACACGGGCGGATCCAGCTCCTGAGCTGACTGATGCATACATAAGACCTCTCCTTTGTAGGGGTGTCCGGGGTTATCCTCCCCCGTGAAATTTTGAAATCTAGGACCTCGGAAATGCGATTTCCTGCGTTCTGAGCGACTTTTTTTGTCCCCCTTCATATCTCAGAGTCATATCTGCATTTTTGGAAAAACACGTAAAAAACTTGTACCTATATCGCAAAAACAACATAATTTCTCCATATAAGAAAAAAAATTTGCTTGTACAAGTGTAATAGCAGCAGTGGCAATAAGTCTCTATTAAAAAATAGTCAGTACTGTTCTTCTTGTAGCCTTAACTTTTCTATTGAAAAACATTTCGGCAGAAAATCACTAATCGCGACAACGCAAATACATACATACTGTGTAACAAAAGTGTATACAGTGTGCTCCACTAGTTGCATTGCTGGACTCGATCAGAAGACAGCGTTATTATGTAATTGTTTATGAACCACCTTCCCCTATTAATTTCCAATAATTTCCAATGTTCCATGAGTGAAATCTTCTAGCATTAGAATTTAAATTAAAATAAAATATGGTGCATATAGGTATTTTGTGCTTTACTGGATATATATATATATGCAACTCTGTTTATATGCTGCTAATCTTACTCTGCATGGACAGTGTGGTTGGCATCAGTTGGTCAATTTCATTCTCCCCTAGCTGCCTTTGATATGAACTGCACGGTGAATACCCCTCACTCTGAATACTGAGAATATTGCCTTGTGGTGAGGAAACCAGTAAACTAACACTCAACAAATACTGGGTTTAAAATTATATAAATATATAACTAGGTACACACACAACCACACGTTTTAATCAATAGAGACTGTGTGTAAATTAATTTAATGAAGCTATCTTAGTTGGAAATTGTTTGTTAAACTACCAATACCAAACTGTACAATGATAAGCATGACATAATTTAATCATATGTCTTCTACCTGTCCCCTTTTGCCTGCCTTTCAACTAATATTAATACAGTACTCCTTTAAGAAAGGCTGCACAGTAGTATTGATGAATATTTAATTTTCCCTATGTTATTATATAAATGCACATCTTGTCAAATGTATCCATACATTTATCAATGGTAATCGTAATCCTCAGGGACCAGCATCCAAAACATAATACTGGGATAATTAGCACTACAAATATATAATTTAATTAAATATATTTTCCAAACTATCCCACTTTTGTGAGCAAATTTCATAATTATAGCCTGTATACAACAGTTACAGTAATTATACAGTATTTATACCGTCCATCATTTTATCATTGATTCTAAGATTAAAATCTGTCAGGAGAATGTCATATGACATATACAGCTTATATCAAATAATATTTGCACAGACAAAGCATATAAAGTTACTCAACTATGGTAGGTGAACAAGCCCAGGTAATCATCTTTGTTTGCAAAATATCCAGCTAGTGCACAGTAATTGCCCAATAACTCAGGCAATGCAAAGTAAGACCCTTGTCACAAGGCATGCCAGCTCATTTAAAATGGAAATGAAATAGGAGATACCACAGGAAGTTGCTACTTGAAACAATTACCTTTGATGTAAACTCCCCCTTAGTCTTTTAACCAATGTTGCATTACTATTAGAAATCTCATTATGTTGAATAAACCTGCAAATATGCTCTGTAATTACATACAGAGACTGATGCAAGTCTTGATCCATTCAGAGCTACTTTCCACCCACGCTATGGTTTTATTTTTGTTATCCAATCAAAATATGACAGAAGAAATGTCAATTTCACATAATAACAACAAGCTAAATATAGTTACAAATTACAATCACTAAATATATCATTATTTAATTATAGCATTAACCAATTATCAAAACAATACATTAAATATGGCATGAATACTCATGCTAGAAATAGCGAATCAGATTTACAACCATACAGGCAGTTGTAGGACACAAACATTTAATAACATGTGTATCAGGTCTTCATTTTTCTTTGCCCGCCAGCTGTGAGAAAATAGAAGGTCTGGGCACACGATATAATCCCATGTAAACAGAGATGAAATTTGCCTCAGTAAAGCAAGCTGTCAAGTTTTGTATTGGGGCTGGTTTGCCTCTACCCTGCGTAGCAGGCGTTTAGTGCGGGCGGGAGAAGAGAGGGCGTCGTTAAATAAACGCCTGCCCAAATGCCTATGATTAATTTGTTCTTCTCCGAAGAATCTTCGGAAAAGCTTCCCATTGGTCAATCTCGTTAACGGAAGTAATTACGTGACTCAAATGTCAACAATAATTTTGCTCGCGTATCGAAAATATGCCTCCTGTTATTGCTTTTCGAGGGAACTCTTGTATTTCAAGTATTTAGGCTTCGAAATTCAGTTGAAACCACAATAGAGAAAGTCTATTATTAATTTGCTACGTGGTGAAGACCGGTTATCGCGATTCTTCTTACGGAATACGGAATATCTGCAAATCAAAGCTTGCCCGAGCGGCAGGGATCGAATATAAATTTCCTTATAGTTGTCTTGTTATTTGTTCACTTTAAAGTATAATTCAAGACCAGATAGTTGAGGCTACATCACTTGGCAGTGCAGCTATGAGGTTGGATGATGATTTTAAGAATATAAACATTTCAAAACATGCTCAACTGTTATAATTTTGCAGTTAATTTGCTATACGGCAGAAACGTTAAACAACCGTGGTTCAGGAGTCTTTTAAAAGTTAAAAGCTCTAGCTGTGACTGTGACTGTTGTCTAAAATAGCTTCAAAAACTCATTAATAATTCATGAGGAAGAAACACAAAGAAAAATCATAAACGTGTATCTTTTTATGTGATAGAGATTTCCCTTGATTTACATAAACTTTAAGTTTGACTTTCTTTACATACACATCGAATTTTTTGAAAGCTATTTCGCCAATAAACTTATACTAGATCGATCGTTTTTGAAGCAATTTAAAACATTCGCAGTGCGTGTTTTATCAGACAATCTTTATAGATATAAAGATGATAAAACACTGCTGCTCATGTTTTAAATAGTACACAAAATCTCTGCAAATCTCCCTATAGTTGCCGAGCAAAAGCATGCATGATGCTAAATAAAAATCTCGACGATGATTGGATAATGGGTGAAGGTGCTAATTACAAAACGTCAATCATCCTTAATAGGCGAAAACAAATTTGTCATAGCCATTTGGGCAGGCGTTTCGTTAGTTCCCGCTAGTTTCCCTCTTTGTAGAATATAGAGCAACAACAGTAATAGAACAAACTGTAATTATTTTGTTATTACATACAAATCTATATTAATTGTGGACCCCATTTTCCACTTTATACACTTCTTCAACTGAACAATTTAGTAATTTACTACAATGTAAAAATATAGAGAAATCTAACTTACTTAATTAAGGCCCTCGGTTCAATCGACGGGCGTAAGATCCCTTCCATTTTCCACTTGGTAGCAATTGGTTCGACTGTAAATTATTTGTTCTCCGTCAATTTCGAGGGATTTCTCTTCGCATTATTTGTCTCATTTGCATATAGTGTTTGCATATCCTTGCCGCCATGACTTGAATCGAATGCCTCGTTACGTCATACTAGATTTGATTTTGCAATTTGCATCAATGCACCGATGCGAGCGCCCGCAATCTGCATGCAATGCATCGCTCAGCGGCCAAATATAACGTGACGTAGGGCGCTAAAACAATAGATTTGATGATGTCACGTTAGTTTTCACGCGGAAAAGGACTCGGGACCGATGCATTCACTGATGTAAAATGGATGCCAATCGAATCTAACGTGACGTAGGTACGGAAGCCCGGAAGGGCCATACGAATATTGCTTTCAACTTTTTGAATCGCGCTTAATAATTGTTTGAATCGTGATTAACTTTCGAACGTTGCTAACTTATAGGATCGTCTTGAGTTTTTGCACGACTTTTTTCTCGACTTTTTTCTCGACTTTTTGCACGAGTTTTTTTCTCGACTTTTTTCTCGACTTTTTTCTCGACTTTTTGCACGACTTTTTGCACGACTTTTTTCTCGACTTTTTGCACGACTTTTTGCACGACTTTTTGCACGACTTTTTTCTCGACTTTTTTCTCGACTTTTTGCAATACTTCTACAGTACAAATTTAATAGAAAATATGGCGGACAATACATCTAAAATGGACTGTTCGTCAAATTCAGCGAATTCAACCGCAAAGGTAAGATGCCAAAGTATGAATAGAACATAAATCACTTTTTGAATGGGATTATAGATAAAACTGTGGGAGACACAGGCCAATTAGTATATTTATAAACAGTGTATGGTGCATTAGCTGTGTATTCTCAAATCATATAATATTAACGCCGTGGCTATTCGTACTGGAACAGTACGCCGAGTTTGATTTGCTATTCGTACTGCAGTCGTAATATTTAAGATAAACCTGACCCCAACCCCTTCTCTAACCCTAACCCTAACCAATAAAGGTTTAATTTAATAAACTATTTGAGAGTTAAAAAGTCAACAGAAAACCGACGGCTAAAACTAAACCAGGACCCGACCTCGTTTCACTTTGCACACACGCAGCGCCTTTGCCGATTGCGCCAGCGGCAAGCTCGCTAAAAGATGTTGCAAAAAACTATTTTATATTATTACTTTACGTAATGTAACAATTGGGTGCTATATTCCAGTACGAATAGCCACTTCATAATATTAAATTGTTTCAATAATATTACGAGTATTAATATTCATGAAATCTACTTTAAATTTCACAGGTATGCGAGTTTCTTATAACAAGAGGTGTTGAAGAAGAAATAGTGGAAAGATTTCGTTTTGAAAAGGTTTGTTTTAACAATTAAAATTTTTTTTGACCTTTTTAACCTTTTAATTGAACCTGTTTATAATTAGTATGTTTAATATAAAGGATAAACTTGTTTCTAACCTATCATATGACTATGGTAACATTTATACTAAATCATAATTATGTTTTTCAAACAAAAAGCGAATTCATTTATTTATTACCATTTCCATTCAAATGTCAAAGCAAAATTGCGGTTTGTTTCAAGTTTAAAATAAGTTTTGAACATCAATTCTAATAGTTTTGAACATCTATATATTCTAAAAGTATGCTAATTTGTATGTTGCTCTGGGGG